CCGCTTTGAGCACAGAAAATACTGACATAATCAGACCGCTAGGGAGGTTAAACATGTCCAGTAAAAAAATAAAATTTTAACTCCAATTTTGTCATATATTTAGGTCAAAATGTATTCTGCTACATGTCTTTGCTAAAAAAATAATCCCAATACATGTAAATTAATTGGTTCACATGAAAATTATAGTGTTTACAAATGGCGGTATATATACTGGGATTTGTTTTTTACTAGTAATTGCAGAGATCAACCACTTATAGTGTGACTGCGGCAGGCATTCTGACACTGGGGAGAACGGACTTGGTGTCACTGACATCCCCAGTGACACCAATACAGTGATCAGTGCTAATAAAAAGCACTGACACTGTATTAATGGCACTGGGCAGGAAGGAGTTAACATGTGGGGTGCTGTGGGCTGTGTCTGTGCTTTACACACAGAGTCATGCAAAGCAGTGTGCAGGAGCTGACAGGGGAGAGAACTGCATTGTTTACATGCAGTTCTCTCCCTCCATCGGTAATGCTCCTCGAGCACCGAGTGCCAGCAAGGAACCAGCGGCTGAGACCCGGTGATTGACAACCAAGGCACTTAAGGTTCCTTAAGTGCCCTCTAAAACAAAGATCATTAGAAATTATGTATTTATACCCAAATTTTTGTTGATGGTAGAGCTAAAGAGATTGTACAATCAGATTGTATAGTGTATGGTGAACTTTACAGAACCCAGAACACAATTGTCCTTTTTTCAATACTACAGCTCTATCCACATAGGCTGTTATCTGATTTCTGGAAAAAAGAGCAGACAGGTGGCACAAACACCTAGTGCATTATCCAAGATTTATTCAAAGGTGTAAAAAACAAAAACATACTTACAGACATAGCATGTATAAAAAGCTTTGCATAATGGAGATGGCTGCATCAACGGGCAAGGTGTTCTGAAATGTCAGTGTGGTCAGGTGGCTGACGCATTTCGGGGACTTAGCACAGGAAAAAAGAGGCCATGGGGAATGGTGGCAACTCATACAACATTAGACAGTTCATCAACTGTAGCACACAATATGTGATATACTGTCTTATTTGCCCCTGTGGTCTGTTATATGTGGGTACAACCGTCCGTACTTTGCACATCAGATTTGGGGAGCATAAAAGGAACATTAAACATGGCCGCGAGGAACACTCCATCCCCAACCACTTCAAGGACAAACACGATAAGAGCCCAGTGGGTCTCAGGGTGTTTGGGCTGGACAGCATACCCAGAGGCACTGACATGGGCAGATGTTTTCGTCGTTTATGCAAGAGAGAGACTTTTTGGATCCATCGTTTGGGTACCCTGTCACCCAGAGGGTTCAGAGAAGGGTTAGATATCAATTCTCTCATCTAACGACTGCACTAATAGATGATTCCTCTGAACACACCACTATATACAGTATATGCCCACATGAATGACGGAGATGTTGCAGGAGTTGACACCCTCATACACTTTGTATACTCTCTGTTAGGCACACTGCTTCCTCAGTTCTTATAGATGCTGTTGCTTATATTGGTTTTAATAATGGTCCTATTCATTTTATGGTCCTGTTATGTTTATTGGTCTCACTGGTTTCTCATTTTTCATCATCATCACTTCTCATGTTTGTGTTAATTAACATTACTTGTCGCGCGAACTCTTACCACATATATATAGATTCTTTGCGAGTAATTTTACCAGCCCATCATTCATTCTCATCATGTTTTTATATATATTTTCTATATTTATTATTATTAGGATTTATTTTTTTATTATTGAACATCTTTAGGCATTTTCAGCAATATACCATGTTATGGTGCAGTTTGCATGTATTCACTTATTTATTTATGTATGTATTTGTTTATTTATTTTTATTCTATTTAATTTCATTATGATCATGGCTGTGTAGTATTTTTTTCTCTTCATTTATTGTTCATTTCGATTTTTTTGCACTTCCAGTTACTACATCAACATCCTGTAGTCAGTGCTTCGCCCGCCCATCCACACGCATCCACTCTGCTTTTAATGTCACCCACAGTGTCACACATCCTTGTTTCTTTCCTACACCGGCAGCTGCCACATAGCCGTGCAGGCTCCAGTCCCTCCTCTCCCATGGGAGGAGCTCTGCATGCGTGACCCGTGTCGGCGGCAGTTTCCCGCGGTGCTGGATGTGATGTCAGCTCCGGTGCACTTCCATTCTCAGCCTGTGGGGCACAGGGTGGCCGTGGCGTGCACTCCAGTGGTCGCTCCTCCCTCTCCACAGGCGGGACAGCATCCTTGTGTCTCTCCCATTTGACCGTGAGGCGCACGACCACATTGGCATGCGTTCCAGCGGCCATCTCCCTCATACTCTGTTTCCACCAACTGATTCCCATCATCCCATCATATTACAAGTACCTCTGAATTTTTTCAGCCATCGGCCTTCCACACTCGCATCTCATATCTGAACCTGTCCTAGAGGTACTAAGCATTGCAGATTCCACTCCATTACATTCATTTCATTCTCTCTCTTACTGCCACCTATTGTTATGCACTAAATCACAGACACTTTTATTGTTATTCTTATTGTTTTATTTTTACTTTTATTTTCATGTTCTTCTTCTTTTTTTTTTTTTAATCTATCCCTATTTTTATTTTCACATCTACTATAATAATTTTTATCATTTCCAATAATAATTTTTTTATAAAAACTTTTACCACTATACATGAAAATGCTTTTATATACACTGTCTGTAGCCATACACAACATTCTAAGTTACAGATACATAATTTATTACGTTTCATGATCTTTGCATCTCCTAGTTTTTTGATCTTTGCAATTGATGTATGTATTCATTTATTTATGTATTTGACCTACCGTATCACTACAAATAACCCCCTCTAACTCCTCCCCCTCTAACGAGCAGAGGAGGTGAAGCATTGCTCCCAAGGCTATTTATAGCATGACCTTCATGCAGGCTGGTCAGTAGCTCTGAGGAAAGGGCCTCAGCCCCGAAACGTGTCGGCCACCTGACCACATTGACAGTCAGAACACCTTGCCCGTTGATGCAGTCATCTTCATTATGCAAAGCGTTTTATACATGCTATGTCTGTAAGTATGTTTTTGTCTTTTACACTTTTGAATAAATCTTGGATAATGCACTAGGTGTTTGTGCTACCTGTCTACTCTTTTCCCAGTGGTTGATCTCCCCCAACTGAGGAGGGCTGCATCCCTGGAGCATTATCCTTAGGTCACTCTTGTCCTGGTTCCCTTGGGCTCCCTTTGGCAAATTATTTCCTGCAACGCTGGAGAGTACACACGGTTATCCTGTTATCTGATCACTCAGCACACTATACCAAATGAATGATCTATGCAAGATGAAAGTTAAGGTAGAAAAAAAAGAATCAATGACTCTTCATGTGGTGAGAACAGTGATTGATTGCATTTCATTTACCCGGTTGCCCAGCGCCCTATAGCCTAAGTACGCACAAACTCACGTATATATACACGTGATTTGCATCTCCAGGTAGGGGGCATGCTCATGCGCCGCTCTATTCACACCGCCATTGGCTGCTACAGATGTCAGTCACTGGGTCCCAGCCAGAGATTCTCCGCCGGCACCCAGCAATCGCTGAGCAACACTGACAAGGAAGAGACCTGTGTGTAAACAATACAGGTCTCTCTCCTGCCAGCAGTAGCATGCTGCTGTGTATTTCTCTGCACAACAGAGAAATACACAGCAGCATGTTTCCCTAGTAAAACACACAGCACAGTTAACCCTTTGATCGCCCCAGATGTTAACCCCTTCCTGCCCAGTGTCATTAGTACAGTGTCAGTAGTTTTTATTATCTATAAACACAAATCCGCACACTCCCTACTTAAATAATCACTAGAACACCCCAAAGGAAAAGTAAACCTTTCACCCTTGAAAGTATGTGTGAATTATATATTAACTTTTCTAAATATTCCCAATATACTCAAACAATATATAAATAACCCAAACACATAAATCTACTGAATCTACCGAAATAAAAAAAAAAATCCCAGTATGTGTAAATTAATTGGTTTACGTGAAAGTTATGGCTTTTACAAATGGCAGTATAAATACTGGAATTTTTATTTTTTTTATACTAGTAATGGCAGCGACCAGTGATTTATAATGGGACTGCAGCAGGCATTCTGACACTGGCTGGGAACTAACTGCCACTGACATCCCAATGACACTAATACAGTGATCAGTGCTAATAAAAACTACTCAAACAATATATAAATAACCCAAACACATAAATCTACCGAAAATAAATATAAATTCAATCCAAAAAAATATAAAATAAAACAAAATGTCCCAAAACTTATAGATGTCCTAAAAATATAGTTCCAAATATCTCTGTGTAAATATTTCCAAATTGACTTGTAGATAATCCAGTGTCGACTTTTCAAAATCCTCGTGCACCTCAAAAACAAAAACTTAAGATAGTGTATTACCCTTTAACTTCATACACTTGCTGTCACGGTTTCATATTGTATCATGCCAGCTGCATAACGTGCACACTTCACACGTGAAAATGAGACGAAAGAGAAAAAAAAAAAGTCTACACTGGATTATCTACAAGTCAATTTGGAAATATTTACACAGACATATTTGGAACTATATTTTTAAGACATCTATAAGTTTTGGGACATTTTGTTTTATTTTATATTTTTTTGGATTGAAGTTATATTTATTTTCGGTAGATTTATGTGTTTGGGTTATTTATACATTGTTTGAGTAGTTTTATTAGCACTGATCACTGTATTAGTGTCATTGGGATGTCAGTGGCAGTTAGTCAGTTCCCAGCCAGTGTCAGAATGCCCGTTGCAGTCCCGTTCAGGGGCGGACTGACAACTCATGGGGCCCCCGGGCAATAGGGGATCATGGGGCCCCTGTTTCCTTGCCCAAACTCAAAAAAGCCTATGAAAAAGGTACCAGGGGCATCTCATGGGGCCCCCTACTGACCCCGAGCCCTCGAGCAGTGCCCGAGTTTCCAAATGGTCAGTCCACCCCTGGCCCCGTTATAAATCACTGGTCGCTGCCATTACTAGTATAAAAAAAAATTAAAATTCCAGTATTTATACCTCCATTTGTAAAAGCTATAACTTTCACGTAAACCAATTAATTTACACATATTGGGATTTTTTTTTAACAAAGATGTAGCAGAATACATTTTGGCCTAAATTTATGACGAAATTTGATTTTTTAAAATTTTTTGACTGGATATGTTTTATAGCAAAAAGTCAAAAGTAGTTTTTTTTTTTTCAAAATTGGTCTTTTTTTTGCTTTTAGCGCAAAAAATAAAAAACGCACAGGTGATCAAATACTAACAAAAGAAATCTCTATTTGTGGGGAAAAAGGGACATAAATTTCATTTGGTTGCAGCATTGCATGACCGCACAATTGTCAGGTAAAGTAACGCAGCGCTGTATCACAAAAAATGGCCTGGTCAGGAAGGGGGGAAAATCCTCTGAAGGGCAAGTGGTTAATAAACGTGCCCCTCAAAGTGGGTGGTAGATAGGAAGGTAGATGATGGTGCTAATGAGGTCAGTTGGTCAATTCCTCCCTGTGTCACAACCTAAAGTCCCTGCAGGAAATAAGGCAGCAGTAAGCTTTTTATATACAGCCATCTGGACACTGACATAAAGGTGTGTAGAAAAAATGTAAAGCTTTTGAATTTCTGCAAAAGAAGTACATTAATGTTATATTGGTATGTAGGGGAGCTGGAATTTGGAGAAAAAAAAAAAAAAGTGAACGAAGGTGAACTTATCCCTTAACCGGTACTAATAAATGACCTTAAAAAGGATTTAAAAATGGACATATGGACTAAATTTATAGCACTGAGTCTATTTCCATTTTTTAATCTTTATTTTATATTTTATATTTTATAACCTCAATTATGGTTAAGTGAAATGAAATTAAAATCATCAGTAAATTCTAGTCACACAAACTTCTGTTACCATTTCAAATTTTAGCCATCTGTCTCTAAAACCGATCTCTTTTAAACAGTTGCAAATGGATACAGTTTAATTTTGTTGTGAAAACCTTCTGTGATTAATCACCTTCATATATTTTGTTAGGAAAGCTTGTTAACAACTGATTCATGAAATTGAACTTGTTAGATATTTTTAGTTTTAGTACTACCTCTGCAATAATGTTATTTTCACTTTTTTTTCTTGCTTTATTGTATACACACATGAAATGTTTTAAACATTTAAGGCTGATTAGGCTGCCCAAACATTACCGAAACGCGTTAGCTGCATTGCTGCATTGCCATGTCTGATAATGGGACCTTTCTGTGTTGGCAATCCATAGTTGCAGCATAAGCATTAACATGCTGTACGAATGTAAATGGCCCCTAAATCAAGTTTGCTAAACAAGAATATGCAGATAGTCTGTTTCCAACAATTTTACTCTTTTTGCTTTGTTTCTGAATATTTATTTTGTTATTCATTTACAACTTCTCTTTAAACATTCTTATCTCCCATTACATGTTGGTTTGAAAAGCACCAAGTCATTAAAAGCTAGCATTTCATGGATAAAACATTGATTTGTTTAAAAAAAAACATGTAAGCTTTTGAGAACGACTGAAAAATATGTTGTGCAAAATGCCAGCTGTGTCAGTTGAAGTGGCTTATATCAAATGTGAACATGTTGCAGAAAATCAATGAACCAATCATTCAAAATAAAGAAAGAAATCATGATCAATGATCTTCCTGGCCACCTGCATTTTCCTGCTGCGCACATCTGATGACCAGACAGCGAATATATCCCTGGGCAAAACATGTTCATACTAGAAAATGTGAATATATCCATGGACTCTTCTAAGCTGCCATTCTGGAAGTAACTCAAACACATTTAATTTACTCATGCTGTGGCAAACATCCAATACAAAAATCTATACAAGACAACACTGTACATGTAGATATTGATTCCCCAATACACATTTCTATGTTGTATTTGAAAATTAGACTGTATTGAGTACCAACTCTTATAAGTTAAGAATGAATATAAAAATTAGCAATGAAAATGTATTCAAATCTAAAATGATTTTTTTTTAGCTTTGGATAGTGTGGAAAAGGTTATAACCTTTTTATCAGTTTTTATTTTTTCTGCTGTGTTCCTATTTATCCTGGGGATTGCTGTCAAGAGGACTGAAACCTAAAATAAAAAATGTAATTTTTAGATATGGTGGATATATTAGTTTTATTTTTTTAGGTGTTTTACCTCTGTTGTCACCTGGTAATATGGCAAGTGAAAGGAACAGAAAGGGGGCAACAGAAGCATATTTGGACAGCAGCATTGTCAGTCTTAAGTTCATCTTCTGATCTACAGATCAGCAGCACTGATCTGTGTATTCTGATGGTGGGGGGATTCTTCCTACTATCAGAATAAAATATCACAGTAGAGAGGACTCTTCCATCCACACTGAGTGGGTGAATGGGGGAGTTGGGTCAGTTTTTTTGGACCCATGTATGGACAGCTTTAAATGCATCAGCAGATTTAGATACACCAACAAACTCAAGCAGAACTCCTGCTCACACCTTTTAGGCAAAAAATTTTGGTTTTTTTGGGATAAAGATTTTAGAGAAAGAAATAAAATCTGATTGTAAGCACGCCTGTCAGTGGTAAATGGGTTGTCTCAACTCTTACATTTGCAGGACAGGCTGCTCTATTGAAAAACAGACTTACTGGCTGGATCATCAGGTGAAAATAAAGGAAAGGAAGCCAAAAAAAAAAATGCAGCTACTATGTTTTAGGATTGGCAATATAATACATATAAGCACTGGCCACTTTATTAGGTACACCTTCCTAGTGCCAAGAAAATATCCCCCACACCATTACACCACCACCACAAGCCTGAACCGTTGATACAAGGCAGGATGGATCCATGCTTTCATGTTGTTTATACCATATTCTGACCCTACCATCTGAATGTCGCAGCTGAACCAGCTTGCCCATTTTCCTTTGATATCAACAAGGCATATTTGCCCACACAACTACCGCTCACTGGATATTTTCTCTTTTTTGGACCATTCTCTGTAAACCCTAGTGTCACAATATAGGTGCTCTGCCAGCCCCAATTATTAATTTCTTCCTTAATCCCATACTTAATTCCTTGTGCCCAAATTAAGTACATCCTTAATTCCTTACGTTCTTGTGCCAAATGTTCCCAACTTCAATCAATGCATTTCCCACCTGTCATCCTGCCAAATGTTCCCAAATTCAATCAATGTTTTTCCTCCACTGTCATCCTGCTTTATGTTCCCAAATTCAATTAATGCCTTTCCTCCCCTGCAATAATGCATTCCAACCCAAACTTCGTTAACAATTTCCTCTCTGTCCTGTGTGTATTCTAGCCCAAACTTCATTAGCCACTTCCCCCCTTTCAGGACGACCGGCCCCCTGCTGTCTCTCGTCCTGCCTCAGCTCTTTGAAGCCGAGCCTCATTGCCGAGCAACGAGGCACGCCCCCCACAGCCCGCCCCTGGTTGCCAGGATGACCGGGAAGCATCCTACACCAGTTTAAGAGACTGGTGCTGGGCTCTTCAATCATCCTTTTCTGCTGCGCAGCCATTGAGGGAGCCCAGCTGCGGCGGGACCCTCGTGGCTAAACTCTGCCTGAGACCCCAGCCAAGAGGGGAGATCGCACGCTAACCCTGCCTGAGACCCCAGCCAGAGGGGAGACCACACGCTAGCCCTGCCTGAGACCCCATCCAAGGGGGAGACCGCATGCTAGCCCTGCCTGAGATCCCAGCCAAGGGGGAGACCGCATGCTAGCCCTGCCTGAGACCCCAGCCAAGGGGGAGACCGCACGCTAACCCTGCCTGAGACCCCAGCCAAAGGGGAGACCACACAAACCAGCCCTGCCTGAGACCCCAGCCAGAGGGGAGACTGCACGCCAGCCCTGCCTGAGACCCCAGCCAGAGGGGAGACCGCATGCCAGCCCTGCCTGAGACCCCAGCCAGAGGGGAGTACCTGGACTCCGGCAGGTACCTGTGTCATACTTTCTTGTCCCCTGGGAGACCGGACACCCTGTTGGATCCGTGAGTAGATGCTTTGCCTGTTTTGCCTGAACTGTTCTTGAACTGTTCCTCTGTCTCACCGTTGGATTACAAACTGTCTGCAGAGACCTAAACTTACCCTTGGGGCTGGACTACAAGTGTTTTGGCCCTCTCCTTACTATTCCCCTACTGGCGAGGTCACCCTACCTGCAATCCCTCCATTGAGTGACTGTCATTTTGTCTCAATAAAGCTTTGTGTGTTTGCCATCCGCTTTGTGTGTTCTGTCTTGCCTATCCTCCGTCACTCCTAGAGATGGTTGTACGTGAAAATCCCAGTAGATAAGCAGTTTTTTAAATACTCAGACCAGCCCGTCTGGCACCAACAACCATGCCACATTCAATGTCACTTAAGTCCCCTTTCTCCCCGATTCTCATGCTCGGGTTGAACTTCAGCAAGTTGTCTTTACCACGTCTAGATGCCTAAATGCATTGAGTTGCTGCCATGTGATTGGCTGATTAGCAATTTGTGTTACCAAGCAATTAAACAGGTGTACCTAATAAAGTGGCCGGTGAGTGTATTTTCTTTTGGGATTAATATCACTTTAACCTCCTTGGCAGTCTGATTATGTCAATATTTTTGAATGTCAAAGCGGTATATTGTTTTACATAGAAATTTCAGTGTCTGATGATGAATTTCCCCACGATGTAGTTCCTCACTTCCTGTTGTGTCTGCAAAACAGAATAAGAAGAGAATTTTCCAAAATGGGACACAGATGGCAAAAAATAACTGACAGGGAGAATAACCAAGTTTCTACTTTATTCAAGATTTAAAATAATGTTTTGTCTTTAGATCAGGGGCGGACTGACAACTCATGGGGCCCCCGGGCAATAGGGGATCATGGGACCCCTGTGTCCTTGCCCAAACTCAAAAAAGCCAATGAAAAAGGTACCAGGGGCATCTCATGGGGCCCTCTACTGACCCAGGGCCCTCACGCAGTGCCCGAGTTTCCAAATGGTAAGTCCGCCCCTGCTTTAGATATAGCAA